ATTCCAGTAGCTTATGGGTGTATGTTGGCAAATACGTTTTAATTTTGTGCATGAGTCCGATGAGCCAAACTCGGTCGAAAGCTTAAGATACGTCGAAGAAAATAGCGCTGCAGTATTCTCGCTGTTCGAAGGCTGAGCGTATTTCGAATGTTAATCTGTTCACTTGTTCGATGGTTCCATGGTTTCTTCGAAAGCCAAATTGGTTTGCCGGGATAATATTGCAAGCTTCCGGATGTGGTATTATGCGAGTTAACAAGCATTTTTCAAACAATTTAGACAAACAAGATAGAAAGCTTATTGGTCTGTATGATGACGGAATTGTGTGGTCTTTTCCAGGCTTCGGTATCATTATAATGATGGATTTCCTCCACTTTTTTGGGAAATAGCCAAGATTAATGATTCCATTAAATAGTTTGCAGACGACCTCTATAGCGCATTTTGGAAGTTCGATCAGCATCTTTGGGGTCAATAGGTCACCACCGGGAGCCTTTTTTGGTTTTAGCCCTCTTGTGACTTTGTCGATTTCGTTCGGCCGGAATGAAGGTGCTGCTGGCTGAGGGGAGGACTCTGGCTGAATTTCTGGCAGGAGGAATGAATTTGAGGCTGGGTTTGGCTGGAAGACACTTTGGAGATGTGTGGCGAATGTTTAAGCTCGGTCTTCGTCGCGGCGAGCCCTGCATCCCGAAGAGTTTCTTATCGGGGTGGCCGTTCCAATTGGGGCGCTAAGATTTGGGTGGGCCCTCCACAGGGGGTACTTTGTGCTTGTTGGCGAGAGATTCTGGATGTACCTCAGCTGTGCATTTTCTTCCTGTTGGTGAAGAGCCTGGTCGAGTGATCGGGTTGCTTCCTTAAGGCGTTGTTTTGAAGCTGGTGATCTGCTGTTTTGCCAATCACGACGCGGGCGCCTCTTTTCTCGCACGAGCTGTTCGATTTGCTGATTAGATTTGAAGTGTTTGTTTCGGTCTACATCTTTCCTATGAGGAGTAGAGATTTTAGCTGCCGCAACGAGTACTTCTTCCAGGGCGCTCGTAGTGTAGTCGATGTCCGATTCCATGTTAAATTCCGGGGCGAGTTCTATGTGGGCACTTACGTACTTTTTGTATTTTAGCCAGTTCGTTTTTGCGTCGTCAGGCTGAAGGGGTGTTCGGTTGTTTCTGCGCTTTGAAGAAGCGTTAGAAGCACAGGCGAGTGGTCTGATGATAAGTCCGAGACTGCTTTGGCACTTATTAGATTGCGAGGTATGTTTTTTGTCACTGCAAAATCAATAAGGTTTGGGAGCTTTCGTGAGTCTGTTGGCCAGTATGTGGGACTTCCAGGGGAAGCGTAGTCCAGTTTATTTTTCACATTTATAATTGCATTGTACAATTGTCTTCCTTTGGGAGTCACTAGACGTGATCCCCAGTGCGTATGTTTGGCGTTGTAGTCTCCTGCGGCTATAAATCGATCCCCAAGTGATTTGTAGAAGTCCCTAAATTGTCCTTCCGAGATTGAGAAACGAGGAGGGCATTAAACGGCAGCGATTGAAAGGATTCCGTTGTTTGACTGAATTTGTATCGATGTGGCCTGCAAGAAGTTTGTTGCAAACCTTTTGTGAATGTGGTGTTTAATGCGTTCTCTGATTAGAACTCCAGTTCCGCCGTGGGCTTTCCCATCTGGATGATCTGTGCGGTAGATTGTGTAGCCTCTTATATGAAAGTTGTATTTGCTTGTAAGATGCGTTTCCACCAGTAGCATAACGTCAATATGGTTTTCGGTTAAGAATTGTGAAAATTCTAGTTTATGCCGTGAGACACCATTGGCGTTCCACATTGATATTCGTAGCACCTGCATAGATTATTTAGACTGTTGTGCTACGAGCAGCTGTATCACCATGTACTGGTTTTGAACAAGCGTTTCAAAAAACTACACAGACAGCCCGAAGTGTGCAGTAAGATCTTGTGTGTCCATACTCTTGACAGTTAGTGCATTGCACTGGACCGTTGCGTTTATGTGGCTCTTCAACAGTGATTTTCCGATGCAAAAGATATTGCAGGTTGTAGATTGGGTGGACTTCGTTCTTCTTCAGCGACCTGCTTTCTGGCTCGAGCTCGACCTTGAAGAGGTGTTGTGGTGTTTTATCTTTATTTAGAATGTTAATAACATTCTTGGCGGCGAAGCCCTTTTCTTTAAGGGCGGTTTTTATTTCCTCTGCGGTAATATCAGGTTCTATTCCCTTTACTACCCCTTGTAGGCCCTTACTGCTTTTCAGCTGGTACGTGTAATAGTTTTTCTGTACAGTGTCCAGATATTTGGACACGATTCGGAAGTGCTCTTCAGTCTTGGTTTGCACCTTTGTTTCATGGATGTTCCCTATGATAAGCGGAACAACATGAAAGTTGTCACCGTTCCCGATCAACGACGCAATTTTGTTGACCAGGGCACTTGAGCTTTTTTCCCTAATATAGATTGGAGGGGGCTTGGGTTTTTTTGCGGTGTCTTGGGCTGGTTGGTTTTTCTTCAGCCTCCGCCAGTAGGGCAAATCTGTTGGTAGTGGATCTGTCTGGTTCTTTATCGATATTCAGGACACGGTTAATTTTTGTTTTGTTGCCTGCCGGATTACTCTGCGGGCTAAGCTTGCGTTAATTTGGATGTAGCGATCCATTCCAGTCTGTGTGGCCGTTACCGCTTTGGCACTTTCCGAGGTTGTTGTTTTTGTATTCGCTGTAGTCGTTGACGTCGCGGTACTTTGAGTTGCAGAGGTTTTTGCTGTTGTTGCAGAAGTTGTAGCGCTGCAAGTTGTTGGTGCGAAATTTGTTTCCGATATTGGAGGGGGGGTTTTACACTGCGAACTCCATAACGCGGGAGTCGGAGTGAGCAGTGCGGGTGAGCAAGACCGTGCCCTTTGGATTTCAACGGTCAGTAAAGCCGGGTTGCTTATAATCACTGATTTTTCCACTTCGGTATCGCGGGTTGAAAAGTAAGAGTAGAAGCCGTTTCTTTGGTTTACTGAACTTCTACGCTCGTTCTTTTGATCGTTGCTCAATGAGCTCATTGCGTGGCTCTTACTTTTTTTTTTAACAATGCACTAGTTTTGGTTTAGCACATCACAACTGTTATAAAAAGCTTGTCTGTCGCTTTAAGTAAATTGTAGTTTAGCGTCTGGATTGGGTTACCCCAGTTTTGTTGATTAGCTGTATTTTTCAGTTTTCTCGGAGCTCGGACAAAGCACGTCCGCTCAGTTCGGTAGTTCGTATACGTATCCCAAGTTTTTATCACTATTTTCTTTGATTGATGCATGGCGTGGTGCATCAGGAGTTCTTACTATATGGTCGTGCGGTCAATAAACAGTATTATCTGGAAGTTATGCGACGTTTGCGAGAAGCAATACGAAAGAAACGTCCGGAATTGTGGAAAAAGAATTCATGGCTTTTGCATCACGATATTGCCCCTGTTAACTCATCTTTGCTTGTGAGATATTTTTTGGCCAAAAACAACACCACAATAATGCTTCAGACACCATATTCACCGGATTTGGTCCCATGTGACTTTTTCTTGTTCCCAAAACTAAAGAGACATGTGAAAGGATGGAGATTTGAAACGATTGAAGAGATAAGACTGCATCGCTGGATGAGCTCAAGGCTATACCGAAAAGTGCTTAGGCAAAGTGCTTTGAGGATTAAAAAAACCGTTGGCATAAATGTATTGTATCTGAGGGGGTCTACTTTGAAGGGGACAACATAAATATTGATGAATAAATTAATAGTTTTTTTTGAATCTACAAAGTGACCTTACTTTTTGAACACACCTTGTATATTGAAGTTTTTTTCGATTTTCTTTTAGTGTATGTTAATACATTGCTGCTTGGAAAACGAGTTTTCTATAATAAATTCTAAGGCCTCATCAGGTGATGATGGTAAAGGGCCTTTCAATGAAAGTTGTTGACTTAATTTTGAACTGTCAGGACTTATTGTCGTGTTTTAAATGTGAGAAATATCTGTGTTTTTTTGCCTTCTTAGCAGACATAGCAGCTGCTTCAATAAGTAGAAGTGTTGCATTTTTCTTTGCAAGTTCGGAAGCAAACGATTACAATCATCTTTTGAATAAAATATTATCTCCGAAGAAAGCCAGATAGCATTTTCTTCTGTGAAGAATATTTCTGTGTTCTTTGTTCAGAAGTCTCTCAATTTAAACTATAAAGTTTTTTATAAAGCAACCCTGCTCGCGTCTATTAAAATATTTATTATTTAAATGATACCTGATTACCGCAAATTATTTAAATGATACCTGAATATACACATACTAACACATACTACCACATAAGTTGTTATTTGAATCTTAGTTTTATCTTGCTAGATATGCTCCACGATACACCAATATTTCAAGGTTAAAATAAAAAAGACTACTGTTTACGTATTTCATTAAAAACATGACAACACAAATCACATATAATTAAACACTTATTCTAATATTTTCATTATACCATGCGAAACATTTTCCCTTTTAAGGTATTTTTATTGGTCAAACAGTTTAAAAATACGAAATCCCAAAATTAAGAAATGTGTCTAATCAGCAAGCTTGCACGCACCACGTAGCAAGAACATCTGACTTTTAAGGGCTGTTAGAAGACAAGGGCTGCACAATAAAATACCAATTAAATATTTTTGATGTCTTCGGACTTTTCTTAGCTTGAAATAATCATAGATATATCAGCACGAACTTTTTAGGTTTTGGCCCAAGTCTCATCCTAATATGCAGTGTAAACAACATTTATCGGTCATGTGCTTATGGTATAAGTTTTTTATTCGAACCCAAACCAAGTCTCACAATGCCATTCAATGTTAATAAAATCATAGATCATTTTGTTTTTATACCCGGTGCTTTTAAAGTTCTAAGTAATAATTTTATTTTATAAGCGGTGTACTTCAAGTGTACTTTATGAAATGGCAAGCTCTTTAAAAATATTCATATTGTCTTTACCTTAATACAGTTATATGACGTAGTCCTTTTTCATTGCTCCACAGCTCATCTTTAGGATCAATGACACCCACATGCTTGCAGCAACGGGACGCATATCCTTACATGTTTCATGATCCATTATCTTTAGGATCTCCATATGCTCCAACCCATCACAGGAATCCCACATGTAATCCGGCAGCTGCGCATCAACAGCCTCCTCAGCATGCCGTTTATTCAAACAGCTCATCAATGGTCTCATCAAATACAGGTATGAATAGCGAAATATATGATATCAAGAAACTAACATGTTCTCTTTAAAGGTGTCATATCTGCAGGGGTTTCGGTGCCTGTTCAAATTTCGACGCAGAATGTATCGGATCTAACGGGAACTAATTATTGGCCACGTCTCCAGTGATCTTCAATTTTTAATTTTTCTTCCGACCTTTTCTCAAAAGCGGCAGCTGCAGCCATAGCTGTTACAAATAGAACTGATCAAAACCCACAGAATTATAAGAATAAAGGATGTTCAGTTGTTAGTAAAAGTGCTTCAAATAGCAACGATATCCCACCGAATTTAAACAGTCAGCCACGAGCATCTAGATTTCTTAACATAAACATGGGAAAGGAAAAAGCTTCGTGTTTGAGAACAGGTCTTGATGTTGTCATACGTCAAGGCCGTATATTTCCGGTATCGCCATCCCCCTCAAGCTCGTCTGAACGTATTAACATCAATATTCATCCTGATTATCAAATAATCTAACATTTTTTGTGTAAATGCCATTTTTTATCAGTTTCGTTTCCAAGAAATTTGAAAATTTTCTAGTGTTAATATCCGAATGTCGCCGTATAAATAAAACTACCTAATTTATGCATTTTCACTTAAATTATTGACGATTGTACTGACCAACGTTAAAACGTTCGCGAACGTCGGCGAATGCAGACGTGCTTTCTTTTTGTCTTCTTATCGTGCAACAAAAATTAAACTAAATTAAACTTAAATTAAATAAAAACTAAGCATAGTGCAGTGCAAGCTCTAAACAAAAATATACAGTGGGCGAAAAGACGCTTAGTGCGATGAACTTCGTACTTTTTGTGTAAATAAAAAAATAAGAAAATCTCATACCGTCAACGTCAGCAAGACGAGCGTTGACTCTCTTTGCTACGTAACAACGCATACCAGTCATTCGTGTCAACGCAAGACAACGCGACCGCGAACCCAACAAAAAATAACCAACCGCGATCAATAACCCCAAGCCCGAGTAATGAACTCTATCCAAAATCGCAAGGCAGGGCGCATTCTTGCTTTCCTGCGCTCTCGTTGGATAAAACCCCTTCCCTCATTCCTGCCTGCATAGCCACGGTCACCAGTACAGTGACGTCATTAGCAACTGCAACGGCAACTATTACAACAACTACAATGGTATCGACTGCTCGCGCAATACCATCTACTGTAATAACGGAAACTGCTGTGCAAGCAAATAATGCAGCACCTTACACCAGCGTGCCCTCATCAAAAAAACGTTCGGCCGTACAGACTGGTATGGATCGCTACATACAAATAAAACGAAAGCTTATCCCGCAGAACTCTAGACTTGTTAACCCTGCTAAAATAACTCGAGGCACCTCAAAACAATCTACAATAGAGAAGCCCATAGAAGCGAACAGATTTGCTATTTTGGCAGATAAATCCGATGATACACCTCCTGAAGTCATCGTAGGGGCAACAAAAAGCCCAAGCCGCCGCCGATTTACATCCGAGAGAAAAGTTCGAATGCTCTCGTAAACTAGATACTGAATCTAATAGGACCAGACAATTTCCACATAATTCCATTAACAAAGGGAAATATTCATGAAACTAAAGTTCAGACTGATACGGAAGAAAACTACAGAATTTTGTCGAAGTATTTAAACGACAATAATAAAAACTTCTACGTAGTACTAAAAGGTATTGAGCCGGAAGTAAAACCAGATGAAGTTACAAGAGCATTGATGGAGAAAGGTTTTAATGTAAAAAATTTTAAAATAGAGAAAGAAAGCTTCAACCTCTTTTCAAGGTAGAACTTCAACCCGAAACCAAATCCAAGCCTCTGAAAAAAAAATTAAGTGCATCCAATCTTTACTCTCCAGTTCCTACTACACCGCAAAATTACGGTAGAGGAGCCGCATAAAAGAAATGGACCGGTGCAGTGTAATAATTGTCAGGAATATGACCACACAAGGTCTTATTGCACGCTTCGTCCAGTATGCGTTGCTTGTGGAGACCTTCATAAATCTCACAAATGGCCAAAAAATAAAGAGGATCACAGCAGCAAAAAGTGCGGAAACTGTGGAAACAGTTTCCCCTTATCAACCAGAAGAACAGTCTACGAACAAACTTGAAACAATGATATGTTATCTTAAACAAAGTATGGTGGAGTTCATGTAGTTCATTCATGCAGACAACTATGCAAGATCTTATGCGATGGAAAAGATGGAAAAACCTGGCAGAGACCGCACAATCGCTTCATCATATAGACCAATTAGTTTACTAACGTGTCTATCAAAACTCTTTGAAAAGTGCTTCTTGGCACACATTACCCCATATCTCAGAACACACAACAAAATCCCGATTCATCAATTCGGTTTTCGAGAAAAACACGGAACCATTAAGCAAGTCAACCGCATAACCTCAGAAATCCGAAATACATTCGAACAAAGGGAGTACTGCACTGCGATATTTCTGGACGTATCACAAGCTTTCGCAGAGTATGGTTAGAAGGTCTAATGGACAAAATTTAGAAATGCTCCCAACCAACACTCACAAACTTCTGAAGTCATACTTATACAACAGGAAATTCTCAGTAAGATGTAATTCAGCCATGTCCGATGACTACATCATTAGAGCCGGAGTTCCTCAAGGCAGCATGCTTGGACCAACACTCTACCTTATCTACACTGCGGACATCCCAACGAGCAGGAATCACATCCACTTTTGCAGATGACACAGCGATCCTAAGCCGCGCGAGATGCCCCAAGCAAGCAACGGCGCAACTTGCTATACACCTGATGGCAGTGGAGAAATGGCTATCCGACTGGCGAATCAAAGTAAACGAACAAAAATGCAAACACGTAACGTTCACTCTTAACAGGCAAGACTGCCCTCCACTTATTCTTAACAACACAGTGGTTCCGATAGCAAATGTAGTAACATATCTTGGCGTACACCTCGATAGACGGCTTACCTGGCGCAGCCACATTGAAGCCAAAAGAACGCATTTAAAGCTCAAAGTCAACAGCCTTCACTGGCTTATCAATAGCCGCTCGCCCCTTAGCTTGGACTACAAGGTACTCCTATATAACACCGTCTTGAAACCAATCTGGATGGACGGCTCCCAGTTGTGGAGGAATGCCAGTAACAGCAATGTGGATATAATGCAACGAACTCAATCAAAAATTCTCAGAACCATCACCGGGGCACCGTGGTACGTTCGGAATGAAAACATTCACAGGGACCTTCACATACCACTCGTCAGAGAAGAGATAGCACAAATCAAAACAAAGTACTACAACAGGCTATTAGTACATCCGAATCATCTCGCGAGAGCCCTCACGCGAGTTTCCAGTTCTCGTCTTCGCCGCAACGACCTCCCAATCCAGCGCTAATTATTAGGACCACGGTAGTCTCTATTCAGTTCAAAACAATATGTTAGATATTGTATTATTTTAAGATTTACAACAAAAAAGATTGTACTGACCATAATCGTCAATGTATATATTTACCCATTGCGATAATTAACGATTTAAGGATGGAGAGCTAGCGTTTGGAGAAGCCGAACACACAGCCGAGTACATCATTGTGTATCGAACTGCTTTAGCTCTGCTAAAGAATGATGTGATATTCATAAATGTACATACTTGTATTTACCCACTGCGATAATTACCGATTTAATTCTGTTTCTACGCAAACTAGTCTCTCAGTTTTAAAGCTATCGTCTTGAAACTTTGCACACTTCCTTCTTTCCTTTGAACGCTGTCGGGTCAAGCAGCAGCACGGCGTTCAATGTTTATGTTTAAATAATGTTTATGTAATGTTTAGTGTAATGTTTATTTATTAGGCTTAAGTTTGTACAAAGGCTTTGTTGATCGCAAGCCGACTCTCTCTCGGCCGCTCGACTCAACAAGCTTTCCATAGAGAGTTTTAGCTCGGTAATGTCTAAGTCGGGCCGCCCTCTCCACTTTCGAGAGCTTTAGCTCGAGGTGACTTGTCGGGCCGCCCTCTCTCTGAATTGACTTGAGTCCCTGCATGCACCATAGCTGGTCTATCTGCGGATCATCCGGCTTGATCTTCATGCAGAAATAAACATTTATAACGTTCAATTTAAATACAAAATCGACTATATCCTATAGCTGCCATATAACTGAACGATCGGAATTGGTATTTGGTAGAAAAATCAATTTTCGTATTTTTGAAAATAGAAGCTTGGAACTTTTTTTTAGATTTTTTATTTTAATTAATTGGTTTTATTATGATGTAATCATAAGGATCGGCCAATTATATCTGATGTTTGCGATATATATCTGGTTTTAAATGCATCTGGTATATCAACTTCGGCTCCGCCCGAAGTAAGCTTTCCTTTCTTGTTTCATCCACGTCGTAAAATTCAGGATCCAGGAGCATCGCATCATCACCAGGATCACCAACGAGCTCCATGTCCTGGACCTGCATCGACGGCATCGTCTTGTACTGAAATATTACACCCTCCTTTTAATTATTGGCTCATACGTACCTGAACATTAGTAGAGCTAACCTGTTTTGAACATACTTATGTTAACTAACAAATTGCCTGTGGACAAAATTAATAAGCATCAAAATGTATCCACATCACTGTCGCCCCCCTTTAACCCTCTTTTGTGTTTTTCGCAAAAAAAAATTTTATTATTTAATATTAAATTTTAAATAAACATTTAATTATGTATATACAAATATTTGTATGTACATATATCTATATATATAAAAGAACAACGTGTTTTATGTTACAACACTTATAAATCAAGAACGGAAGAACAGATTTGAGTGAAAATTGGTAGGGAGGTAGCTTAGAGCCAGGAGAAGGACATAGGATACTTTTTGTCCCGTTCGACAGCGTTCCTCCCTGGCCCATACTTTTTTATTTAGGCAGACAGCTAAGAAGAAAATGTCAAATGAAAATGTCAAATGTCAAAATGTCAGTTAGAAACGAAGTCAAATTCATAGTCAGGCTCTCAAATTTAACAACGAACCAAAAAGATTGTGTTGCGCTTCCGGGAAAGTGAAATTGCCTCAACTTGAAGCACCACTAGAGCCTCTGCACTCTCTATTGATATTTGTAAGAAATCAATATTAAAACTATTTCTATTAAATAAATAATTAACAAGTGGATTGAAGTGAAGTGAAGTTTAATTAATAATGCCGCGACCAAGACGATCGAATCTTTCCCGACAAAGCCGTAATGCAAGAAGAATACAAAATACTGCATATGAAAGGACTGAAGAAGAACGAGAAAGTGCACGTGAACAGAGCCGCAATAGTAAGGCTCGACTTCGTGCTTCTCAAATAGATTTTAATTTGCGACGAAAAATTTTAGCTGATTTGAATCGAGCTGCGTTTCGATACGATTGCAGCAATGATTACAGCTTGAATCCTAGCGTTTGCATTGGGCAAATGGACGTTGTTTGCGAGTATTGTGGTGCATTAAAGTTTTCCGGAGAAACGCCTGGATTATGCTGCGTTAATGATAAAGTGAAGTTGCCAGTAATTCCAAGATCTGCGGCTGCCGACGAAATAAACGCTTGCCTCAAATCGTCAAATCTATGGCGCTATGTGAAGAAACTGCAGCTGATAACAAACATGAGAGTTACATTGCTT